GTGGTGGTGGAAGGATTCCACAGATGACATGATGTTAGGAAAAGGTTTCTTCTACTTTGTCAAAACATTGAGAAAGATGCCTTTGAAGCCAGCTGAAGGGTTAATCATATCATATATTCGATGCTCTGTACAATAATCAAGTACCTAATCAAATTCCCTTTCTGTCTCTCTCCCTCTTTTCCTTTCTCCTTTACTCTCTGCCAGAAACATCCCCTGCCTTACTCCAGAGCGTCCCTCCCAAGACCTTCGCCTTTCCCTACTTTGAAGGCTCCTTCCAGCCTTTCATCAGATCTTCTTATTTCCCAGGTAGGTCTCATCCCCCTTCCTGGGGGGCGGCGTCCCAGGCCCAGCCCGTCGCTCCCTGCTCCGAAAGCCATATTTCTCCGTCCACCCCTCGGGGTTATGCTCTGGTTCAGAGGTTGCGAGGCGTACAACATTCACGAATCCGTCGCGCCAATTTGATGCCCTATTTAGCACAAGCAGTGACTGCTTGACACTTTGCACCAATTCCCTGCTCTACAAATTAGCAGGAATTGTCATGGTCCCAATTTGAGGCGGTTCCCTTCCCGGCGAGGAGCTGTTGGCATCCCTTCACGCCGCCGTTTTCCCACAGAGTCAGTGCACTTGGCCACGATTCCGCCACAAAGGTTTCAGCACCATGACCAATTGGTCAGCTCCTCCGGGCAGCCACACACAGACCGGCCCTCGCCCCTCCACGCCGCCGAGAGACACCTACCAGCCGGGGCTAATTTCTCTTTAAGACTCATTCAGGGTTTCGGGCTTTTCACAAGACCACATGGGGTGCCCTCTTGTGTGGGATGCCTGGGGTCGCCCAGGGGGAGGGGGACTAGATCCTCCCACAACCCCAACCTTCTATTTCCAAGCTGATTTCCCAACCTCTTCTCGTACCCTTCCCCCCACCGCCTTATCTTTTTTAAAGACCTTCAACTTCTAAAATAAGTCTGAGGGAAGCCCGTAATGGGGTCCTAGTCTGGAGGAGAAACACCTTCGACAGTTTACACGAGGTTTTTATCCATCCTGGAATCCCAGTGGTGCCTCAAAGTATAGCTGAAAACTCAGCAACCGGTCAAGACTCAGGAGACAGAGGAGAGCCTATAAAGAGAAGGGAGACTGGGCACGGTTGGTGGGGGATGGGTAGAACCACGACAACACTCCCAAATATCAGAGAAAGAAATAAGCAATTGATTTTTAAAAGGGGGAGAGAGAATTCACCAACAGCCCCCCCCCCCACCATTCATGCTGCTGCTGATAATGGAATTTGCTGCCTTTCTCCCTCATCTCAATGCTCCAACAAAAACAACCCGAGCTTTATAAATAGCTTTTCATGTCCATTTAATGAAAATGATTCCGGGAAGAGAAGCCTCTGCCATCAGTATTCTCCCAATGGTCTTGGCCTGCAGTTGTGTTTAGTTTGAAAGTGTAAATCTCTTTTGTCCCAGTAATATATGGCTTTCGCTGCTTGTCCTCAGTCTTTTTCTGTTAGTTCATTACTACACAATTACCATTCACGCTTCATTAGAGTCTCTGTTTCTTTTTGGTTTTTTTTTTTTCCCTCCCTTAAAGGAAAACTCTCCCCCTTTTTATCATGCCAATACCCATTGGGGAGCGGTCAATGTGCTAATTAGCTGCCACTTTTCATGTATTCGGGCCGAATTCTTTACGTTTTGTGGGGGAGGGGAAGAAAGATTAATATGAAAAAGATGAATGCTGATTGGATTTTTCAAAAAAAAAAAAAAAATCCAAAGCGGATTTTCTTCTGTCAAATAAGTAAGGCACCTCATTTTCATCTAAAGAATGCAAAAGCTACCAAGGTGATAAAAGCATAAGGGGGAAACCCAGCGGCCTCAGCTGGATATTTTTATTTTTATAAATTTTTTCTGTTGCTATTTTAGCCGATATACGCAGGTTTGTTCCCTTGACACTGTTCCCCTGAGACTGTTGAATGGAAAAACGAAACAGGCTATTGTGGAGGCTGTTTTCTGTGTTTCCGTGGTTTTACCTAATCCGGGTTTGCCTGGTTGAAAGGGAAAGTTATTTGGGCGGAAAGCGCCTTTCAGTCTCGCAGGTTTGTAGGTTCCTGGCCTATTCTCCAAGGGGAGAAAAAGGAGAGCTTTAAAGAGATGAAGGGATCAGAGAGAAAAACCGAGGGAGGCCACGAGGGAGGGGCAGACGCTACTGCCGCGGCGGGACGCCGCCCACTCACTCGCAACCCCCCACCCCACCCCTC